CAATGATGGGCTTGGGTAGGAGGCAAGTGGTGCCTTTGATGCATGTAGGTTTCATTTTTGTGACCCCCCTCAGGGGAGTGCATTCGAGCTGCTCTGCACTCCAAGGTTTCAGTGCTGATGGGCTTAAGGCAATTTGGGATTGTGGGAGAGGGCCCATGCCATCTCATTGTTATGCTTCCATCAGGGGTCCTTCCTTTTTTGACTTCTCACAGTCACATGTGTCATGTGCCTTGTCGTGTCGCTCATAATTGTCACTGTCCTAGGGGCTTGAATGCTCCAGGGGACACTCGGATCTCCAGCTGTCAAGGTATTTCCAATACCTGTCAAGACCATGTTGCTGCTCTGATCCAGCAGTTTGCTGTTCCCTTTCTGATGGACGACATGTCTGTTTGTTACTTTTATGACTCATTTCTGACTTGTCTCTATTGCACATATGTTGTACTATAGCTCCGATGTCAGGCTCCTCACTGTGCTTTGATTGTGCCAGCTGGTATAGCCTTCATTGCCTTCCTACCCTCATCTTTGACACCATATGACTCCTAATTATTTGACTGATAAGTTTGTTGATTACTGCAGATACACATCGCAATGCATCTGTCGTGACTGCTACGGTACTCATACTTAGGGGTATATAATCCTATGTACTTTGTCCTGTATCTGCAGTTTTTCGATAGCTTGCAACTGAGCTTCATCCCTTCGTTCTAATCCTTGTTCTCTCTCTGTGTGAACAACCTTAGGGACTTGCCAGCAGACAGAACCTCTGTCAGATTATTACAATAACTCAGCCATAGGGGTTACAATAAGTTCAGCCCGTAGACTCCCACCTTGCGTGCTTCGTGCCTATTCCATTTGAAGAAGTCACCACACTCGGGCATAACAAAATTGAAAAACTCCATGCAGCTTTTGGGACTCATCGACCTCTTCGTGAAAGTCTACTCATCCCTGGTTACTGAACTTCAACAAACCACTTTGAACTCAACCAAGGCTCGCTGGTCTCCCTCAGTGTAAAGACTAACTCGCCTTCATCACCCCTTTTTGCCCTTCAACTCGATCCCAAATCGATAACAAAATTGAAAGGCACCCTTCTACCCTCAATCAAATTCACCGCTCTACAGGCAGCCATTAGGCTTTAATAGATCGCCTCCCTAGAGCCAGCACTTGTGTCTCCCTATGTGTAAAGTCACTCGCACACCACCAATCAACCCCTCATGCTGACAGGTTTCTTTCAAGAAATAATTCCTCCCTCAGCCTTCATTATCACTTCTCGTTAAAGTGTCTAACCCCCAGAAATCAAGACCCCCAATCCCCCCTAGGCCAAATCCCCTTGGGCTTGGCAGGAATCCCCTGCTACCACCCATTCCATTAGGAAGACTAGGACCCTTGGTTACTGCCACCAATCCTTGGTTATCTTATCTATCCCAGTTTAGGGATTCAGAAGTTGTGCTTAGTTCAGAAGAAGAAGACAATCAGAAGTCCAATACTTCGCTTGGGTCAGTCCTCGACAAGGAACAAGAAGTACACAGTTTACCTGCTATGTCCATGACACTTGGTCATGGAGAGTTGGCTCCTGAAATGCCACCAAAGGTGTTCTCGGAAGAGGAGCTGAGAGAGAGGTTGGAAAGTCAAAGGATCACAATGGCTGAAGAAATTAGGAAGGCCATGGTAAATCACAACAGCGACCCTTTTCCAACAGGGATGCCATTGGACTCGGCATTATGAGGTTGGTATGCCAGGAACTTCGGAAAGGTAATTCCCCCAGAGGTCCCTGCCAGTGGGTCCAGTAAGGGTAAGGCCCCAGCCAATCCTGATGATACGTACGATTGCCACCTGCCCAATGGAGGTAGGGAGTTTAATGTCGGGCATCCCAGAGAATATGATGGAAGCCACAATGGGCTTCAAACCTGGGTTACTCAAGTTGAAGGTTATTTGAACCTTAACAAGCATGTCTACAACACAGAATCGCTGAAGATCTTGTTTGCCCTGACTTACATGACCAAGGGTGTGGCCATCTCTTTTGCCAAAAATTATCAAAATGAAAATAAACTTCTCAATGGTACTATCTACTACATGGACACCTTCCAAAGGTTCATGGAATGTCTCAAAGCTACTTTCGAGTCTGGCAACCAGACTGCCCTCGCTATCCTTCAATTGTCAGATATCTCCCAAGGAAAATGAGAATTGGAAGCCTACATTGCCAAGTTCATGGGGCTTGTTAATAAAGCCCAGTTGAAAGAAGAATCATGTGAAACAGGGATCTTCTTCGGGAAAGGCTTGAACAAGGAATATCGCAAGTGGGTCCTCAATTCTGGATGCACACCTTCCACGGTGATCAAGTGGATACAGTGTGCGGGAGAAGCCAGGACTGCAATTGCTACCAAGCATATCCTAGAAGGGAAGGAATCCTGGTATGAAAGGAAGTTCATTCATTACCACAGGAGTTCCCAAGATCCTGATGCGATGGACGTTGACAAATGTAAACAGAATGTAAGACATTCTAACTCCAAAATAACTTGCTTCAAATGCAGAGCAAAGGGTCACTACAAGTGTGACTGTAAATCCCTCAAAACCAAGAATCTCCCAGGGATCCGTATAGTCCTTTCAGAGGATGGAACGAAAACCGTGTATATGGGAGATCATCTTGCAATGGCTGAAGAAAGAAAAGCCCATGGAGTGGATTTTTAAATGGGACCACCAATACTCCTAAGGAAGGTCCCACTTCTGTATTGTCTGCTAAATGTACTTCTATAGATGACAAATCAACCATGCATGTCAGATCACCTCTGGGAAGGGTCATTTTACCAGACTATACAGCAGGAGTAATGTCTGATCTGGCAGTTCGCCATTCCCTTTCTGATGGACAACATGTCTGTTTGTTACTTTTATGACTCATTTCTGACTCATCTTTATTGCACGTATGCTGTACTATAGCTCTGATGTCAGGCTCCTCGCTGCACTTTGATTGCACCAGCCAGTATAGCCTTCATCGCCTTCCTACCCTCATCTTTGACACCATATGACTCCTAATTATTTGACTGATAAGTTTGTTGATTATTGCAGATACATGTTGCGATGCATCTGTCGTGACTGCTACAGTACTCGTACTTAGGGGTATATAATCCTACGTACTTTGTCCTGTATCTGCAGTTTTTCGATGGCTTGCAACTGAGCTTCATTCCTTCATTCTAATCCTTGTTCTCTCTCCACGCAAACAACCTTAGGGACTCGCCAGCAGACAGAACCTCTGTCAGATTACTACAATAACTCAGCCATAGGGGTTACAATAAGTTCGGCCCATAGACTCCCACCTTGTGCACTTCGTGCCTATTCCATTTGAAGAAGTCACTGTGCTCAGGCATAACACTCATTTTGCACTTGTCAAAGACTAGTTCTTTGTAGCACTCAGTTTTCTTCAGGTGGAGCCAATGGACAACATTAAAATCTGGATTGGTGAGATCCTCATAGTAGAGAATGTGATTGTTGAAGGTGTATTGGTCCATCAGTAAGTATGTGTCCAAGCCACTGTAGTCTTCCAAGGTAAAATGGTTGTGCTGGTAAGGGGAATTGTTTGGGTCAATCTCCTGGTTGAGAGTTAAAGGGACAACATTGTACAGCATAGCTAGTATACATGCCTTCAGGGTCTCTCATTTCAGCTGGAGGAGTCCAGGCATTTCTGAGTGAGTAATTCCTAGTGTGAATAGGCCAAGTTCAGCCCCTTCTTCAATGGCTGCAAGGCAAGCTTCAGTGGGGGACATGTTAACAGTGTTAAGACAGACATGTGGTCCTTTCTGCTTGTCCCTGGTCTGCCAATGCTTGGGGCAATTCCATTCCAGATGGTCTGTGCCTTTGCAGTTGAAGCACTTACCTTCTGCATGAAGGCGCCTCTTTCTCTCCTTATCAGGGTTCTGATCCTTTGAGTGCTGACATGTGATTTTGTCCTTGTTATGGATTGCATTCCCTGCATCTGTTGCACTGTTGGTCTTTACAGCAGCTGCACTAAGGCAATCCATGCTTTGCCTGTGTGTGTATCTTTGGTCACATGGGGGCTTGCAATTTCTGTCCTCATTGATAATGCACTTGGCTTTCTCATACCTTACACATTCAGATTCTAGAGTCACAATAGAGACTGTAGTTGCATCATATCCACTCTTGGTAAGTTCTGCTCTCAAGTAAGGTTGGCATTGTCTCCAAAATCCAAGAACTACTTCCTGTTCACTAATGTCACCCACAGCATCTGCTATTTCCTGTAATTTTCTCAAAAAGTCTAGGACTGAGCATCCTTCTTGACAGCATGCATTGAACTTAGCATGCTGCTGCATTTGGAAGTCTGCAGGGAATATATAATCAAACAAGTCCTCAAAGAAGATTGTGAGGTTATATTTTTTCTTCAAGTCAAGTATGTTTTGTTCATAGAATTGGTAAGTGCATCTGCTCAGGTATTTCCCTGCTAGCCTAATACTCTTTTTATGGTCTAGTTGTGCATGTTTTACCCAGTCATGCAGCTCATGACACCATTTCTTAAAGAGTCCCACTTGTACTTTGCCTTGGTAAGTGAACAGTGGGTCTTCCTTCAAAAATGCTTGCTGATACTTCAACTTATTTAATTTTGCATGGTAGTGATGCTTCTTCTTGTGTTTCCATGCCTTTTCTCTGTCTGAGTCATTGATGCCAACAGTCAATGGTTCTTCCTTGAAGAAATCTGAGCCAAATGAGGAGTCTCCCTCCAATGAGGAGTCACTGTCATTTGTTGAGGACAAGTCAGATGGATTGCTCAGGGCAATCGCTCACTGATTATAGTTTCCTGTAGGTTTCTTATGTCCTTTAGCCATGCTGTCTGAGCTTGACAAGCTGTCATCATCACCAGGATCTCCATGCATTGCATGCAGCACAGTACTCTCATGCAGGAATATGGATGAGGCTCAAGTGTTGGAGGTTACCTTATTTGCTGGGGTCTTATCCCTGCAGTGGGCCTTTGCATCAATTATAGTCTCTGGCAAGTCTGATCATTTAACAGGTTTCATGCTACTGGTAGAATAGTACTTTGTAGCATTTGTGTTATTTGGTTCAGTTGAGCCAATATTCTCATCTGTCCGGTTCACACGTTCCTTCTGCTTGATGCTGAGTCCTGATGGTCCCAGATTTATGGACTCATGTTTCATGCAATGCTTGAATGATTCAATGATTGCTTGCTGTTCACAGATCAAAGCCTCAGCACTATTGAGCTGCTTGACCAGGCTGGCCTCCTTCAGCTTCATGATCATGTTTCTGGTATTCTCATCTTGTTCTTCTTGTTCCAAGATGGAATGTTGAATATTAACATCTACAGGATGTTCTTCTGAAGTTTCACTGTGGGCAGGCACTTTCCATTTTCCTTTCACCTCTGCAGTGAATCTCAGTATGCTTGCATCTGAAACACTTTGACCATGTTTCATAATTTCAGGCTGGTCATTCTTGTCCATGACCACTGGATTCCCAAACCACTGCAGTATGACTTTCCTTAATTCTTCATCATTCTCAACAAGATCTGACCACAAAACCTTAGGGCTAGGTTCATCTTCATTTTTAGTAATAACTTCAGACTCGTTGCACATCCAGGCAGGCCACCTATTCTGGTCTAACAAGACAGACATCAGGACTAGCAAAACATTACTACAAGCAGGTGAACATGGCTTCATAAAACCATCATCCTCTGCATGCACTATTCTATCCACTCCAGTCATTGCTGGGGGGTCTGGAGCATGGCTTTGCAGCATGCTCCCAAGCTCATGGACCAGCTGTGCAATGGCTATGCTTGGCACATCACTTGCATTGTCAATGCAGCCTTGGGCATTGCCTGGTGTCCTAACAAGTCCTGAAGACCTGTGAGCTAATGGAGAAGTCATTTCATTGGGCATGGTCTGATAATCATAATCAGCACCCTGAGTAACTCCTCTGAACTGGATCATACTGACCTGTTCTGGCTTGATAGCCCAGAAATGGCATCAGATTTCTTTGTTTATTGCTTTTGGGTTAAAGGGAGAAGACATGAGTATGACAGTTGATGTTGCTGCTACATACCAGTTGGCCAGACCAACATTGAGTGAGCGACATCAAGATCAAAGGCAGGTTAGGAGAGTAGGAGAAGAGAGATTATGAGCAGTTCAAAATATGTGATGAAAGCAACTTTGTTTAAGTCACACAGAGGGAGTCCATCCTCATTGGAGTATTTCTTACAGTCACTCAGGAAGAACTGGCCAAAGGTCTCTGTTCGAGGTAGACTGGGGGAGCATACATCAGTATCTATGGTTTATATACATCCAGAGTGCAGTGGGAGACAAACGAGTAGCTAAAAGAGGGAGACATAAAGAAAGAGAAAGGAAAGGAAAGCAGTAACTAAATTCCGAGGCGTTATCAGTTGTTTACGATCGTGAACTGTTACAACTTGTCAGTAGTTACAAGGGACCATTTGGATCATAGCTCACCCGAAGATACATCTCTCGTCGCCCACTTCAAAATTTTGGGCGATAAACGCATATGCCATCTCGAATCTTACTTGCTGAAATATCATGAATATCCATTTACGCAGGTAGACACCTAACAAACTGACCCACTGCCGTGCCATAAGCCTCTGGAAAGGGGAATGGCCGCATCAGCAACTGAGACGTTCGAATCGACGGGAACAGCCACTCAGTGAAGAAGCGGAGCTGCGCCGACGAAGTTACCGTTAAAATCGGATTCAGAGCCGACCCCGCTCAAGTAGTAAAGGACTATTCGACGCTTCGGCTTACCACCACTACCTGCCTTCTGTATGTGCATGATCTAGCTATAGACCCGCGGAATGACTGTTGTACACAACTGGAGTAGCCCTCTCTTGACTCTTATGAACCTCTATTGCCATGCCACACGATGGTGGCCAGACGAAGCGACGTACATGGATGCGAGATGGTGGGTCAAGTCGTCATATTTCGTCTTCTCAGTCTCCGTTTGGGAGGGATTTTGCTGGCTTCCCTTCTGAGACTCATCACCGGCACATGCATCGGTTTTAGTGTAATTCAGCTTGCTGTATGAGCGTTTCCGCCTGAGACTTGCATCGTTCCTTTGACCCCACACTTCCCCCTCTGATCCGATACACCCAAGCCAGTGTCCGCACCTCCCCCTCCCCTCCCAGCTCCACCTGCCCCCGTCAGCTCGTCTCGCTCCAACACCAACACCCTCCCGCCTCTCAATCTGCCAAATTGCATGACTCCCTACCTTCACTCGTCTCCACTGCCATCCTGGCCCACGTCCCTCCATCGAACTTCTAGCTCTCACGAAGACATCCTCCCCGCATCTGGCCCACTCCATCCACGACAACAACACCCCTCTTCGCTTTCCATCCACCAAATCACACCTGCCCGACAATTCAAACGCGAACAACTGCAACAACCTCCGCCATCACCCCCACCCCCTCCCGCTCTACCACAATCTCAAAAGAACAGCGATGACAACATGCCAGCGACCAGCGACTTCCTCAAGAAACTGTACAAGTACGTCCTCTTCGCGGCCATCCTTCCGATCCACTGCTTACTTGCAATCAGGATACTTGAGGATCAGTCCTTCCCACACATAGTATCATGCGGTCCAAATGGTGGTTGCTTTGTCGTAAAGGTCGGTCTTCCTACTTCTTTCTTGCTCTATCTCTCATCAACCCGTCATCACTTTGATCGACCACGCGTTCTCACTTCTGACCTCTTCTCTTGCCCTACTCACATCTCCCCTTCCAATAGGACATGAACGACTTCACGAAATCAATCCTCCCTCGCATGTTTAAACACTCTGATTTTGCCTCGTTTATCAGGCGGCTGAACAAATATGACTTGCACAAGGTGGGTATGCGCATATATCATGTGCATCTTATATGCGCGTTCTGGTGTCTTTTATGACCGGAGGACATTCCCATTCTGACATGTACTCCAGGTCAAAAATACCGATGACACCCAATTTGGTGAACACTCGTGGACATTTTGACATCCTGACTTCCACGCTGACCGGCGAGAAGCCCTGGAAAACATGAAACGCAAGGCCCCTGCAGCGCGTGTATCAGCACCATCAGGGTTCGCTATCGGACCCTCTACGCTGGGTCATTCTGGCTCAGCCAGACCCAAAGGTGGCGTATTGAAATCTCTCCAAACGCAAACCAACACCCTCGCGTCACATACGAGTGCACTGTAGAAACGGCACTCAGAGCTCCAGCCGCAGATGACCGCCTTCTAGTCCCAAGCCAACGCATCGCATGCTCAAAACGCAACTCTTCAATCCGTCACAACAAGATTGCAGAACACCCTGTCTGGCTTTCAGAACGGAATGTCAGGGTTACAACCGGAAGTCGCAGCGCTGCAGTCTCAGAACAACTCTCTAATGACACGGCTGGTAGATCAGAGGATCGAGTGAGAGATTTGGAAAGGTGTTACAAGGACGTGCTTGGAGAAATGGTTCGTTTCCAGAGGAATATTGCTCGGCAGGGTGGTTTGATGCAGAGTTTAGTGCAATATTTTCTGCGTGCGGAAGGCGGTGAGTCTGCTTACTTTTTTTGGTCTGGATCTTGCTCTGTTCGTTCGTGTTCCGTGTTATTTGGACCAAAGAAATGGTTGGGTTGTCAAGGGAAACTAGAAGATGGGAGTTGGGTCGCGGGTGCAATGGATCCTTGCACCCTACCCCGTGTACCCTGTGCCTGCGTCTCCGATGCACGTTCGCATACTCATCGTTGTTCCTCAGCGAAGCACGAAGATTCCGTTTTCGCAACACCCATCGCATCCGGACCAGCACCACCTACAGCTGGCCTTGCAAATAACTCTCAGCAAATACAAAAACCCCATACACCTGTAATGCCTCCCCCGACAAGATCAGGGTCTCTGGGACACAGTATGACTCCCAACACGCATCCACCTCCGTCCACATTCGGCATGTCGACAAAAATGTCGACCATGGCGACTGCGATGTCAGCGACGTTGCTGGCTTCGCAACACCCGCAGCCAAGTCCGTTTTTGCAGCCACTCACTGTGTCTCATTTCGCAGCACATGGTCGGATCCCATGGACATGGACATGGACCGCCCACGACGTCTGCGTCGTCATCGACACTTTTTCGGGCACTATCAAGAAGTCAGGTTTAAGCGCAATCCCAATCCCCGTCTCCATTAGTTTCACAAGCACAAGGTTAGGCGCAAGGACTTGCTGAGCCACCCATACAATCTATTCAATTGATTCTATCTATGCAAGAACAGATATCTTCCATGCGAGAAACAATCCCTCTCTCGCAAACGATTCCATCTATGCATTCACCCATGCAGGAATTAATGTCTTCCTTACCGCAAGCTACATCGATGCAACAAATGGTGTCGGCTATGCAAACGATGCAACCAATGCAGCAGGTTCAGTTTTTACATGTCCATGAGGCCCATCGTGTGCTGGGGTTGGTTGGGGATCATCGATATCCGGATCCGACCGCGATTGCGAGGGCGAGTCTGGCACAGATGAATGAGATGTCGAGGAAGGCTGGGGCGTCTGCTGAAATGACGAGTAGTGGTACAGGTTCGGGAAATGGATCGAGACCGGAGGGGACGGATATGACGAGTGGTGATACTCCTTTTCTGATCCGTCCGGATACATCCTGGGACGGGACAGTCCAAACGGTTCATGAAGGATTACAGGTGTTCACATTGGGACATGTGCTTCCGAGGAGTGCACTTGACGATGCGAATGGGAATTGGACGTATGGTGGGGATATACCTGGTACGCCAAATATGAATGGGGGTGGGAATGGAGGCGGGAATGGATGTGCTGATGAAGACGGTGTAGGTGGAATTGGGGAGTGTGAAGGGGAGGGGTTCGAGAAAGAGGAAAGTCCAGGTACTGAAGAAGTCGTGCGACCTACACCCACGAACCCCGGCGTCCGAGAATCTTCATCAGCGACTTCCGGAGCCGCGACGCCTTCGTCTGGTGGAGGACAGAAACTGCGAGTCGGGGGGTCAACGTTCGTCCCAGGATGGGCAGTCCCGCCATACGTACTTCTTGTCGACGACGATGCGGTGAGCAGGAGACTGATCAGGCATGAACGATGTGTTACCGAAACCGTTCACCAAGGAAGGGTTGTTGGACATATTGGAGGTGAGATCCTTTTCTGTACCACGTTTTCTATTTGTGTTGCGTGTGACGTGGCAGGATGGGGCTTACGAAGTTATGGTCTTGTACAGAAGCATCTCATGCATCTCAAGGTCATCCAGGAGATGTCGAGGGTACCGAGAATACCATGTGCTCCGCGCCTCTCGACAGATAATTTGTTAACGGATGCGCTCGTACCCGCCTCGGCGACCCCTCCTGCTACTACTACATCGACGTCTTCCGCGTCCTCCTCAGGGACGACTATGGCTTATTCTGGAGGGGACGGCGGTGGAATTGGACCGCCATCAGCATCCGCGAACGCGGAGGATGTAGATGGCAATGGAAATGGTCCGTTGTTCATGGGTGGGGTTGGAACTGACATGCGGATTGATCCGCTTGCTGGGATGGGGCTGACTGAGGAACGATATCAAGCGATCCTCAAAGACCTCGTGAACGGTGATAATTTGGGTGTGCCGGAGGGGTTTAGCTTTGATATGATGGAAGACGAAGGCATTGTCGATGTGGGTGTGGGCCTTAGTGAAGGGATGAGTGGTGGTATGGGTATGGGGGAGAAGAGGGGTTTGGAAGAGGAGCAGGATGGAATAAGGGAGGTGAAGAGGGGACGGTTTGAAGTACTGGATTGAGGCTGACGGTGATCTGCTCCCCTCCTATCTCTTCCTGCCCCAAGTGATCCTAGCCTCGCCCGCCTTTCAACCCGACTCAACCGCCCGTGTCGTGGCATTCCTCCCAATGTCTATGGCGATGCCACTGCCCGCTACTTATGGTCATGTTCCTGGTATTTTCTCACTGGCTCGGCATCCTTTCCACTGCATCAAGCGCTCCGCATCTCCTGCTGATCGTCGCGGTTGCAACTAGCCCCGCGAACTTCGTTACTACTTTGTATACCACCGTGTTCGATTTCAAGCACAACGTACTAATCCATCCGTCACATGTTCACGCGCTGCACACGTCACACAGTGGTACCCCACTACAACGACCTATCCACTCACCACGCCAGCAATATTTATGACGACGTACGCACGCATGCACGCACCTTATGACTTGCACATATGCCATCGGTTTTTTTTCCTGGCTTACTTTTTCATGCTGATGATTCTTTGCACATCTGTACTCATTGACAAAGTCTTTTTTTTTTCTTTCACGCATGCCTACAATGCTATCTTGTCGTTGCTATCGTATAGGAATTTACTGCGTTGATGAATCGATAATGATAATGTGCAGACGGTAATCTTGGATATATGTAAAAAAACCATCAGCTAAATGCTGAGCCTAATACATAGGCGGTGCGTCTGATTCTAATACGTGTATGTATATTTGTAGATCTGTGACCATGACGGGGGCGTCTTGGGTGTAAGTACTCTAGCCATGACACGGAGATGCGGTACAACCTGCAGAAACCCTGAGCGGTACCGAGTGCTGATGCATGACAATTTCAACTTGAATTGAAACGTGTACCGCACAAAACGATTCAATCTTCGAGGATTAGAGGCCCTAACGGCTGGATATGTCTAATTATATAAACAAGTCCTCTACTCGAAACAGTAGCATCTGTGGAACGGTTCTACCAGGAGCTAGACAGTAAACTTCAAATGACGGATGAAAAGACACCATACCCACAACCGGGAGATGACAACGAGAATGGAATGGCTACGGAATTCAGGTGTGTCCAAAGGGCAGCTTACTAGCCAAGCCAACTGCCCACCTTCTCCCACACTACAGCCTGCTCCTCTGTCCACTCTTCCGTTTTCTCCCGCACACATCAGGACATAATCCCTCAGCTGCCCAATCGAGTTGCTTTATGGATTCCAGGGTCTCGAGAGGTTTGTACACCCCACCATCTGAGATCGCGGAGGGGATGACGAGTGACATCCATTGATCGGCAAACACGCCCGTGCATGCCATGTGTGGCGTTGCGGGCTGGGAAAGAAGAGCGTTAAACAGGAGCAAAAATTGTAGTTAATAGGGCGTTCGATGAGAAAGAGGGAGGGGGAATCATTCATTGCGTGCCGCAGTGCAACTGGTGGTTTCCGGTACGCACAAGAGCCCCACAAAGGATCGCACCTACCGGTGTGAACAATATGGGCGTGAAATGATCCACAATCCCAGCCATCAACCTCCCGCGTCTCTCTACATCTGCGGGCGACAGGACACTGTGTCTCGTCTTCGAATCTTCGACGATGTCACCTTGACTGTTATCGTGACGGGGCTGTAATATATGCCCTTTCGGATCTGAGGACGAACACGATTATTTTCCGGTATGAAAACGTGTCATTCACACAATGGGACCGATCCAGACATGAGTACGTCCGAATACAGGTATAAAAAAACGGCTGAGTCGACGGAGACGGACTTACCGATCTGACGTCATACGTCGTCGTCAGTGCCAATGCCTCCTCGAGATGATTGGGATGCGTAAATGGAAAAGGACCACTTGGAAACATCGCTTCTAAGTAGCTTCGGACGAGAGCGTGTAAGCCGGGGAAGTCGAGTTAGGATGGGGAGGAAACGCGGAGGATCGAAGCAACATGATTGAATGGAGACTTTGACGATAGAGGGCTGTAAGGGGGAGGGGAGAGGAGTTCAATCATCAGTATAACAACTGATATCGAGCCATGGTTGTTGCAACGGAAACACGGCAAAACGCTCACGTATCATGGTATAGATGTTCCAGTAATGACACGAATTCTTCCACCCGTACGCCAAGTCCAGGTGGGACTGTCACCTGTGATATTCACGAGTTACCAAACTTGACTGACTCCCCTTCGTCTGTACCCGGACCTTTTAGAACACAGCCAAAGTATGTGGAGTGTCGAGGGAGCAGGCTCGAATGTAGTTTGAATAGAACCGTCTCTCGCTCCGGGTCGCGATTGCTGAGTGTCTGATAGATGGTGACAATAACGGAACCGTCAGCGAACCAGTACTTGGCGTGCTGTTCACTTCGGGATCGTTATTGCATTGGATAATGGCATACCCCTCGACGACCGAGATGGACAGGTAACGATGCGAACCGACACTGAAAGTTACGTAAGCACATGCGTAAGTGAGAAGATAGGCGCCTTGATATCGGAAGGACTTGCTCAATACCACGACGACGGCCTTCACGCTGATCCTCGGCACGTCTTAAACTCCCATTTTGAAGTACACAGAATCGTATCTTACATTCACATGGCTCCTGGTCGTATCAAGACGTGGTTCAAGTCGCTCGGCAGTGATTCGCATCGCGCCCGCCAGAGCGATCCAAGTGATATAGCTCCTGCTGCAACTGAAGCTACGGTTGCAGGTATGATATTGTTCTAGCCTACGAAAATGACATGCTTAATATCGGGACACAGAACCTAGCGATCTTATTGGTGATGTGGCGAATCCAGTTCCCCCTCAGATTAAGGCTACTCCGCAAGGTATTATTGTCGCTCTTCGTGAAATCCAAGTTGTCTAACGCCGAGTCGCAGAAACTGCGTCTTCTGGACCTGCTTACCGTCTCAATTCTGAGATGGCTCAAGAATACATGAAAAAAATCAAGCGCTTTCGAATTCTGGTCATGGGCAGAGCGAATGCCGGTAAAACCACCATCCTCCAAAGAGTTTGCAACTCTACAGAAAAGCCAGAGATCTTCGACGGGAAAGGAAACAAGGTATAGTCCTATCGGGTTGGTGAGAACTATCTAACAATTTCAGATGGATGGTGGTGTCGTGCAAGGCACTTTGAAAGTAAGATGCCATGTTGACTCGTGGAAATTGATATTGATGCTGAGTGCTCTCAGCGTGGTGTCCATAAGATTGAGCATGAGCTCGTATTTCGTAGTAACCCAGGCTTTGTGTTCCATGACTCCTGTGGGTTCGAAGCAGGTTCCACCCGACAGTTTGACGAGATGAGGAAATTTGTGGTTGACCATGGAACCGCAACGAGGGTGAATGAACGAATCCATGCCATCTGGTAAGGAATACATTGTGAATGACTACAGGCTAAGTGAACAGATCGATGTAGGTTTTGCATCCCCATGACAGACTACCACAGGACAGTAACTGCGGCTGAGCAGAAATTTTTCAATGAGTGTGACACAGGTCATGGTAAGAAAAAGACTTGCACAGAGGATTGCATGTGACTAAACTTCTGCATAGTTCCTGTGATAGTGCTATTGACCAAAGTGGATGCTTTGTACCTCCCTGCACTTAGGGGGCTTCTGGATCAAGGTTTGGCCATAGCTGAGGCAAAGGAAAGGGCAGCAGAAAAGCAAGGAGAACTGTTGGACAAGTGGCTTGACTACATAAAACAGGAACTTGGCAATTGCAAGTTTCCACCTAAGGGATATGTATCACTTCAGAGTGAGTATTCCATCACTCAGAGGTAGTGCTACTAGAAAATTCTGGTGGTGGCAGAGATGCATCAAGAGCATGCAGACTGCAGTGCTGTGATGGATTGCACAGCAAATGTGTTGAATGAGGAAGGTTTACAAAGGTTACTTATATCAACACAGCAGTCAAGTATTGCACTGTGTGTGCAATATGCTGTGCACAAGTAAGTAAGCAAGTATGTTTTGTTGCAGATACTGATCATCTGAAGGACATTGAGAATCAGAATGGAACTAGGCTTCAAGGGAGGATTGCAGGTGGATGCAAAAGAATTGGAATGTGGCTTGCTGAAATGGTTTCCAAATTGTGGTGTAAGCATCAAAATTCTTCTAACATGTGGGGTAAATGACACTCAATTTTATGTTCCCTTGCATGTACTAACAGAAAGTGAGTAATCAATGGCATGGCCATTTTGGATTTGCTGACTAGGATCATTCACACTCTTGATGTTGTGGCATGGCAGTATGTGAGTGATTTCATGGCATGTTTAGCTGGATGTCTGCTCAATGGCCTCACTTGCACTCTTGATGTTGGTGGCATGACAGGCTGTGAGTGATTTCATGGCATGTTTAGCTGGATGTCTGCTCAATGGCCTCACTTGCACTCTTGATGTTGGTGGCATGACAGAGGGTGAGTGATTTCATGGCATGTTTAGCTGGATATCTGCTCAATGGCCTCACTTGCACTCTTGATGTTGGTGGCATGACAGGCTGTGAGTGATTTCATGGCATGTTTAGCTGGATGTCTGCTCAATGGCCTCACTTGCACTCTTGATGTTGGTGGCATGACAGGAGGTGAGTGATTTCATGGCATGTTTAGCTGGAGGTCTGCTCAATGGTCTCACATGCACTCTTGATGTTGGTGGCATGACAGTATGTGAGTGATTTCATGGCATGTTTAGCTGGAGGTCTGCTCAATGGCCTCACTTGCACTCTTGATGTTGGTGGCATGGCAGGAGGTGAGTGATGTCATGGCATGTTTAGCTGGATGTCTGCTCAATGGCCTCACTTGCACTCTTGATGTTGGTGGCATGACAGCTTGTGAGTGATTTCATGGCATGTTTAGCTGGATGTCTGCTCAATGGCCTCACTTGCACTCTTGATGTTGGTGGCATGACAGAGGGTGAGTGATTTCATGGCATGTTTAGCTGGATGTCTGCTCAATGGCCTCACTTGCACTCTTGATGTTGTTGGCATAACAGGTTGTGAGTGATTTCATGGAATGTTTAGCTGGATGTCTGCTCAATGGCCTCACTTGCACTCTTGATGTTGGTGGCATGACAGGCTGTGAGTGATTTCATGGCATGTTTAGCTGGATGTCTGCTCAATGGCCTCACTTGCACTCTTGATGTTGGTGGCATGACAGGAGGTGAGTGATTTCATGGCATGTTTAACTGGATGTCTGCTCAATGGCCTTACTTGCACTCTTGATGTTGGTGGCATGACAGCTTGTGAGTGATTTCATGGCATGTTTAGCTGGATGTCTGCTCAATGGCCTCACTTGCACTCTTGATGTTGGTGGCATGACAGGAGGTGAGTGATTTCATGGCATGTTTAGCTGGATGTCTGCTCAATGGCCTCACTTGCACTCTTGATGTTGGTGGCATGACAGGCTGTGAGTGATTTCATGGCATGTTTAACTGGATGTCTGCTCAATGGCCTCACTTGCACTCTTGATGTTGGTGGCATGACAGGAGGTGAGTGATTTCATGGCATGTTTAGCTGGATGTCTGCTCAATGGCCTCACTTGCACTCTTGATGTTGGTGGCATGACAGGAGGTGAGTGGTGTCATGGCATGTTTAGCTGGATGTCTGCTCAATGGCCTCACTTGCATGCATGATGTTGGTGGCATGACAGGAGGTGAGTGATTTCATGGCATGTTTAGCTGGATGTCTGCTCAATGGCCTCACTTGCACTCTTGATGTTGGTGGCATGACAGGAGGTGAGTGGTGTCATGGCATGTTTAGCTGGATGTCTGCTCAATGGCCTCACTTGCACTCTTGATGTTGGTGGCATGACAGTGGGTGAGTGATTGCATGGCATGTTTAGCTGGATGTCTGCTCAATGGCCTCACTTGCACTCTTGATGTTGGTGGCATGACAGGAGGTGAGTGATTTCATGGCATGTTTAGCTGGATGTCTGCTCAATGGCCTCACTTGCACTCTTGATGTTGGTGGCATGACAGGAGGTGAGTGGTGTCATGGCATGTTTAGCTGGATGTCTGCTCAATGGCCTCACTTGCACTCTTGATGTTGGTGGCATGACAGTGGGTGAGTGATTGCATGGCATGTTTAGCTGGATGTCTGCTCAATGGCCTCACTTGCACTCTTGATGTTGGTGGCATGACAGGAGGTGAGTGATTTCATGGCATGTTTAGCTGGATGTCTGCTCAATGGCCTCACTTGCACTCTTGATGTTGGTGGCATGACAGGAGGTGAGTGGTGTCATGGCATGTTTAGCTGGATGTCTGCTCAATGGCCTCACTTGCATGCATGATGTTGGTGGCATGACAGGAGGTGAGTGATTTCATGGCATGTTTAGCTGGATGTCTGCTCAATGGCCTCACTTGCACTCTTGATGTTGGTGGCATGACAGGAGGTGAGTGGTGTCATGGCATGTTTAGCTGGATGTCTGCTCAATGGCCTCACTTGCACTCTTGATGTTGGTGGCATGACAGTGGGTGAGTGATTGCATGGCATGTTTAGCTGGATGTCTGCTCAATGGCCTCACTTGCACTCTTGATGTTGGTGGCATGACAGCTTGTGAGTGATTTCATGGCATGTTTAGCTGGATGTCTGCTCAATGGCCTCACTTGCACTCTTGATGTTGGTGGCATGACAGGCTGTGAGTGATTTCATGGCATGTTTAGCTGGATGTCTGCTCAATGGCCTCACTTGCACTCTTGATGTTGGTGGCATGACAGGAGGTGAGTGATTTCATGGCATGTTTAACTGGATGTCTGCTCAATGGCCTCACTTGCACTCTTGATGTTGGTGGCACGACAGATTGTGAGTGATTTCATGGCATGATTAGCTGGATGTCTGCTCAATGGCCTCACTTGCACTCTTGATGTTGCTGGCATGACAGGCTGTGAGTGATTTCATGGCATGTTTAGCTGGATGTCTGCTCAATGGCCTCACTTGCACTCTTGATGTTGGTTGCATGACAGGAGGTGAGTGATTTCATGGCATGTTTAGCTGGATGTCTGCTCAATGGCCTTACTTGCACTCTTGATGTTGGTGGCATGACAGCTTGTGAGTGATTTCATGGCATGTTTAGCTGGATGTCTGCTCAATGGCCTCACTTGCACTCTTGATGTTGGTGGCATGACAGTATGTGAGTGATTTCATGGCATGTTTAGCTGGATGTCTGCTCAATGGCCTCACTTGCACTCTTGATGTTGGTGGCATGACAGAGGGTGAGTGATTGCATGGCATGTTTAACTGGAGGTCTGCTCAATGGCCTCACTTGCACTCTTGATGTTGGTGGCATGACAGAGGGTGAGTGATTTCATGGCATGTTTAGCTGGAGGTCTGCTCAATGGCCTCACTTGCACTCTTGATGTTGGTGGCATGACAGCTTGTGAGTGATTTCATGGCATGTTTAGCTGGATGTCTGCTCAATGGCCTCACTTGCACTCTTGATGTTGGTGGCATGACAGTGGGTGAGTGATTTCATGGCATGATTAGCTGGATGTCTGCTCAATGGCCTCACTTGCACTCTTGATGTTGGTGGCATTACAGTGGGTGAGTGATTTCATGGCATGTTTAGCTGGATGTCTGCTCAATGGCCTCACTTGCACTCTTGATGTTGGTGGCATGACAGAGGGTGAGTGATTTCATGGCATGTTTAGCTGGATGTCTGCTCAATGGCCTCACTTGCACTCTTGATGTTGGTGGCATGACAGCTTGTGAGTGATTTCATGGCATGTTTAACTGGAGGTCTGCTCAATGGCCTCACTTGCACTCTTGATGTTGGTGGCATGACAGAGGGTGAGTGATTTCATGGCATGTTTAGCTGGATGTCTGCTCAATGGCCTCACTTGCACTCTTGATGTTGGTGGCATGACAGCTTGTGAGTGATTTCATGGCATGTTTAGCTGGATGTCTGCTCAATGGCCTCACTTGCACTCTTGATGTTGGTGGCATGACAGGCTGTGAGTGAGTTCATGGCAGGTTTAACTGGATGTCTGCTCAATGGCCTCACTTGCACTCTTGATGTTGGTGGCATGACAGTGGGTGAGTGATTTCATGGCATGTTTGGCTGAATGTCTGCTCAATGGCCTCACTTGCACTCTTGATGTTGGTGGCATGACAGAGGGTGAGTGATTTCATGGCATGTTTAGCTGGATGTCTGCTCAATGGCCTCACTTGCACTCTTGATGTTGCTGGCATGACAGAGGGTGAGTGATTTCATGGCATGTTTAGCTGGAGGTCTGCTCAATGGCCTCACTTGCACTCTTGATGTTGGTGGCATGACAGCTTGTGAGTGATTTCATGGCATGTTTAACTGGATTTCTGCTCAATGGCCTCACTTGCACTCTTGATGTTGGTGGCATGACAGCTTGTGAGTGATTTCATGGCATGTTTGGCTGGATGTCTGCTCAATGACCTCACTTGCACTCTTGATGTTGGTGGCATGACAGAGGGTGAGTGATTTCATGGCATGTTTAGCTGGATGTCTGCTCAATGGCCTCACTTGCACTCTTGATGTTGGTGGCATGACAGGAGGTGAGTGATTTCATGGCATGTTTAGCTGGATGTCTGCTCAATGACCTCACTTGCACTCTTGATGTTGGTGGCATGACAGGTTGTGAGTGATTTCATGGCATGTTTAGCTGGATGTCTGCTCAATGGCCTCACTTGCACTCTTGATGTTGCTGGCATGACAGGGGGTGAGTGATTTCATGGCATGTTTAGCTGGATGTCTGCTCAATGGCCTCACTTGCACTCTTGATGTTGGTGGCATGACAGGGGGTGAGTGATTTCATGGCATGTTTAGCTGGATGTCTGCTCAATGGCCTCACTTGCACTCTTGATGTTGGTGGCATGACAGTGGGTGAGTGATTTCATGGCATGTTTAACTGGATGTCTTCTCAATGGCCTCACTTGCACTCTTGATGTTGGTGGCATGACAGAGGGTGAGTGATTTCATGGCATGTTTAGCTGGA